AACATTCTTAGTCCCTAAATCCCTATCTCAATGTCAAATGCTTAATCCTCGACTTGCTGGTACCACTGGATATATTGCTAAGTGTCACTTTCAAAACTGGTTTTTCATGTTCATCAAAGATAAATTGTAATAGCTATAGTGAGGTGACAATATCATTTTGGTTCTCTATTTTCCCAAACAGACCATTATGTTTTATTAGTCACAGGAACATTTTTAAAAAATAGAACTATGCACACAGTTCAATTCCAACTTTAGGCTATATTTTTGGAGATTTTATCCAGCTTTATTATAGCTCTCATTCAGGACTCTATCCACTTAAATTAATAGAACAGCACACATCTGTAAGATGGCATGAGCTGACCTATCTATGGCAAGGTTAAGTGTTGATACTTACATGTAGGAAGGCTTAGTTTGCAACCAAAAGTACCTGCTGGGAGAACTATTAGCAGAATGGTAAATCCCAGCAGAAGCTAATATCCTCCTACAGGCTGTGGAAACATACTCAGGGTTTAGTTGTAAAAATATTTAGGAAAAGAAGTTAAAATTTTAATTCTCTCCCTTGAGGAAAGACTGAAGAGAATGAGCTAGGATTACATGCTGGTTAATAATGGGCCAGGCAGAATCCAGCATTCATCACTGAGGCATCAGATTTCAAAAAGAAAGTTAACTAGGTTTAGGGGCGCTTGGGTTGCTCAGTGGGTTGAGCATCCAACTCTTGAGCTCGGCTCAGGTCATGATCCTAGGATGGTGGGACTGAGCCCTGCACTAACAGTGCAGAGCCCGCTAGGGATTCTCTCTCCCTCTCCCTCTGTTCTTCCCCTGCTCACGCTCTCAAAATACTTATTATTTAAAAAAAAAAAAAAATTTTTTAACGTTTATTTATTTTTGAGATAGAGAGACAGAGCATGAACGGGGGAGGCAGAGAGAAGCAGAATCGGAAACGAGGCTCCACAGACTCTGAGCCACCAGCCCAGAACCAGGCGGGGCTCGACCGAACTCGCAGGACTTGGCAGTGGTGATCTGACCGACACTCAAACACCAACGAGCTGCGCCACCGAAGCCTCCTCTTCAAAATATCTTTTTTTTTTAATTTTTTTTCAACATTGTTTATTTTGGGACAGAGAGACAGAGCATATGAATGGGGAGGGCAGAGAGGGAGACACAGAATGGGAAGCAGGCTCCAGGCCTGAGCCATCAGCTCAGAGCCTTGAGCCTGGCCTGAACTCACGGGATCAAGATGATCGCGACCTGGCTGAAGTCGGACAGCTTACTATGCCCAGGCTAAGCCACCAGCTTAAAATATACCTTTAAAAAAACAAACTAGGTTTATATTTAAGCAAATTAAAGCTAAACAAAAACTTTTATCCTAAAATTTTTCTAGGAATTAAATAAAACCCCTTGAGATAAGTGGAAACATCCCAGAAAATACCCACAAATAGAGAAGCCCCAAAATCACTACCTTCAAAAAGTGGATCTAACAAGATGATAGATTCATTCTGACCCACCTCCAAGTGATGCTAGGGCTAATAACATGTGGATAGAACTGGCACTGGGTGTTAAGACTCATATGCATGATCCGAAGGGACCTCAGAGATCACCTGTTTCAACCATCTCCCTTCCTAGATAAAGAAACCAAGCATTTCCCTCTAAGGAAGTGGCTTGCCCTGCCTGGCTGACTGTCAGCCACATATGGTCGGAAAAGGAACTCGAATGCAGCACTCTTTGCTTCCCAGTGCAGGGCTCATTTCCTCTGCCAACTCTGGGCTCTCTAAAGGTTTCCTGTGCAACCGTGCACAGCACTCCACCTCCCCATGCCCCTACTTTATAGAGCTTCAGTGGTGATACCTGCTCCTGGAAGAAGATCAAGGAACGCAGGGAAGGTGGATAACTCCCACACAGCTCAGTCAGGACTGAGTAGCTTTGGCAGCCAGCACACAGGTGACTCATACCTGCCTTACTCTACTGACCAAACCCTTTGGGGGAAACCTGACCTCAGAAAGTCTAGAATCATTGGGACCACTAGTATAGTTCAAAAACTCAGGACAAATGAGAAGAGGATAACCTATTCTTTGGCTTCTATGAGCCTTTCTCGTTACCTTCATCCTCCGAGTTTTCCTAATGACCATACCTCATAGGGCTGTTGTGAGAACTGAGGGAACACACTGCCTACACTGGGCAGATCTCAGTCCTTGGGAGAAGGCGAAAGAACCCTTTGCTACAAGCTAGAGGTAAAGGTCATCCCTGTGAGAAGCACTGGAGTCAGAGCCGCACGGACCAGAGGGCAGGGACCATCAAGGAGTGGAAGGGCAGGAAAGAGAACAGAATTCAGGAACTCAACAAGGGGGAAATTATAAATGGCTTTGATCAAAATATCACATGTTTTGCTTTGTTTTGTATTTTAGAGAGAGAGGGAGAGAGGGTGCGAGCAGGAGAGGGGCAGAAGGAGAGAATCTTAAGTAGGCTTCATGCTCAGCATGGAGCCCGACATGGGGCTTGATTCTCTGTGCTGAAATCAAGAGTCAGATGCTCAACTGAGCCACTCAGGTGCCCTGGTTTTTTTAATAAATACATCAAAATGAATCGTTTTGTTTTAGTGAAAGTTGGAATTGCAGTAATAATGAAGTATCACGGAGTATTTCCATGCTGGTGGGCACTTACCACTTGCTCAGTTGTGTCTCACAAGCACCCTAAGAAACAGCAAGCATCCCCATTTTACAGATAAAATAACAAGTAGCTCAACACTCACCCTAAGTTATTTGGTAAATGGCAGAGGAGAGACTCAATTCCAGCAACTCCTACCAAATTGTCTTTTTTGACAGCTATCTTTCCATATTGACATTTCATTTATCCAGGAGAGCTCAAGAATAATGTAGCATAAAATTTTTCAAGGTAGGACTTATTTCTCTAAGCCCCACAAATTACTTCAACTATTTCAATGGCAACATTAAATGTAAACAGACTTCTCTTTTTGAATGAAGCATGTAGATAATGAAGCGTGTACTTCTCTGTCCTGGTGAATCTGGGCCATCACCAGTCTCAGTGCTGTGTGGCCCAGCAGCACCCTCAGGAAGAAAGACCTGCATGCAAGTCAACCCCCTGGCAGTTCCTGCAGCAGGAATAGGAACATACAAACACTGAGTAGGAACATATCCTTCAAATGCTTACCAACTTCTTTAATGTCACTGCAAGTTGGGAAACTACACACATTTTTAAAAACCCAATGTAAAGATTGAGTTCCTAACAGTCAATTTGACACAATTACCACCTACTGTGACTCCAGAATACATGGTTTTCTCTTTCAGATTCCTTGGATAGCTTGCAGAGCTGAAATGCCAGCAAGGTAAACTTGGCTTTACAGCTTTTACAAACTGCTAGATCAGCCTACTTTCCCACTCAGCCTGAGTTTCTCCAGGTGTGAAAGATAGAGAGCAAGAGTCCTACTGACAAAATGTTGGACCTTTCTGGAAATGATCATCTGAGGAGATCCTTTAAAATCCCTAGCTTTTCTTCGTATCAGTATCCCATGGTTGCTCCCACCCCTTCCTGATACTCTCATGGCCCTCTCAATGTCTATAGTTCTTACTGGGTGTAACCCTCATTATATTTTAAAATTTCTCACTGACACATTAGATGTGTATATCCTCAACCAGTAGGCCTCAAGAGCATCCAGTCCCGTATTTGCACCAATTCAGAGCATAATATAGGACTCACTGTCAGTGTTCAATTAATGTCAGATTCCTCCCTCTGATACCATTGCCCTCTCCTGTGGAACTATGCTTTCTGGATTACTTCCAATAGGACTTGGATTTCACATCTGCAAACAAACAAACAAAATCACAAAGACAAAACCGGAACTCCCCATCTTCTGTCCCATAGTATCAGGGTAAGGTGCTCCCCTCATGAGCAAGGGAGAAGGAAGAACTTCACCAGTCACAGTGTGGAGAACCAACATGATCTCCTGTTCAGAGCAGCTTCCAATTCATGTGATGCAGGCCCCCCATAAAGTCACACTTCCCCTCCACAAACTCCTGTGCAAAAAGACTAGCAAACCCTAAGAGCTGAACATCCAACTGCAAGTAGTTTCACAAAGATCCTGTAAGGAGATCTTCTTATCGGCAAGTACTCACAATATTTAAGTGTCTGATATACCAGGTATTACTTCTCCAGGAAGGGGTTTTGATTCAGGCTCAGAAAAGTCAGGAAAAGGGTCAATTCTCCTGGACTTTCACTCACCCGCCCCCCATGGCCATTTAGCGATGTCAAATTGGCAAAACGTGATTTGTACAAGCTTAACTGGTAAATGCTGGTGTCACTGACGGAGAAAACTGCCTAAAGACCTAACCCCCAAGGACAGCACAGCAGCCTGCTGCCACCGTGTGGTGACTTGGTGCAAATGTGGAAGCAGCAAAACCTGCAGGGCACAGCTTTCAAGGAAAACAAAATTAAATGTGTCTACCAAAGCACACAGTATTAAGGCCATGTGTATAATATAAAAATAGTTAAGTTTATTCAATGTCCTAGATATTTGGGTCAGAAGCATGTATTAGTCTTAACTGGTGCTACAGCAGAGAAAGCTTTCTTGACCTTCATGACTTGCCTCAGAGCTTCACTCCACCAGCACAGAACCTCTCAAAGCCTGTTCTAGACCAATGTGCTCAGAGAGAAAAACAGCTAACAAACACAGAAAGGATGAACAAAAACCAGCTGTGGTCCAATACCCCCAGATTCTCAGAGGTTATATGTTATTTATAGCCAACAATGGCTTGGTTTGTTCTGGGTAGGAGATGGAGAGAATGAATCAATGGATGAATGAATGAATGCACATGCAACAGTCTTGGTCCTTGCCCACTTTCTTCTCTTTACCCTATGGCAGCTTTGTCACATATCCCTCAACTTCAATTCAATTAACACCGTTATCTGGGGAATGAAAGATTGGCGGGGAGAGGAAATATGGAAGAAACTTCCTTGGCAGAACCCCAAAGTTCAGAGATGAGGCCTCCTTAGATGAGGAAGATGATGCCCTCAGAAACCATGACCTGGTTGTCATCCTGCATCTTGCTCAGTGCAGCCTGGATCTCTGCTGAAGAGAAAGGCTCTTCTTTGTCCCGGTTGATGGATTCTGTGAGGCGATTCATGCCCACCGACTGTGCATGAGCTTCCCGGAACACATCTAAGAGTGCCACCTTGAATTCCTTCAACCTGCCCAAGTCAGGAAAAGATGGGTGAAGAAGTAAACAAGCCCAAATGCTCTTAAGTGTTAACACAGTACAGGTATCCCCCAATACTCCCTCTATTATAGAGCTGCTTGAGCATTTTTAAGTACATATCCTCTGACCACGGGAGTCCATTTCTAGAAATTAACCTTACAACTACACTTCCATGAGTACACAGTGATAAATATAAGAATGTTTTACTGTCAACAGCAGTTTTACAGAACTGCTTTACATAAGTGTCCATCATTATGTCCAAATGCAAATAAATTCATATATCCACACTATAGTCATTAAAAAAGAAAATCTAGGGGCGCCTGGGTGGCTCAGTCAGTCAAGTGTTCAACTCTTGATTTTGGCTCAGGTCATGATCTCACAACAGGGTTTGTGGGTTCAAACCCCACATTGGGCTCTGCACTTTCAGCTTGGGATTCTCTGTCTCTCCCTCTCTCTGCCCCTCCTCACACATGCATACATGTGCTCTCTCTCAAAATAATAAATAAACTTA